ATATATATATATACACATTATAATCAGAAAACAAGATGTACATTTATGTACATATACGTATATATATGTACGTGTAATATACCCATATCATATATATACACGCTCTATTTCTTTCCGAAATTATATAGTAAATTGTGTGAAAAATTAGTATGTAACACTTTAAAAGTTTATATATTTGTATATTTTTTATCAAACAGGATATATATTTTATCCTTTTATGTGCGTAAAAATCGTATCAATATTACATTCTCTACGCGCAGCGCAGAGTAATTTGATTACAATAATTACATAAAATTTTAAATATTGTATGTGCACAATGTAAATTGCATTGCAAATAAACGAAAAGCTGGGCATGAGAGTATCAGGAGGAAATATTGCAATATAAAGTTCAAATTATTTCACGATTTCAATTGTTTATTGTTAATAATATCAATCGAGCCGAAACAATTTTTATAACATTCAATACAACGATTTCAATGCAAGACACATTCCTTCTTCAAGAAACGCATCATTACTTTTGATATCTGTCGGTCTGATATCGCGTAAATTTATCTTTTCTGTAAATGAGCAATCATCCATTATGAAGCTATATGCTTAAATTCAAGAAATCAATCTTACAGAATTCTCGATGGAGATATTTACCTATCTATCTCGCTATAAACAATCTCGAAATTTATTTTAACAAATGTTGAATCAAAAATTCTTTTCCTCTCTTATTTCTCTTTGTTTCTTTCCTTCATCTTCTTTTGCTTCTCTTCTTTTTCTTCTTCTTCTTCTTCTTCTTCTTCTCTCTATCTCTTTTTCTCTTTCTTCTCTTTTTTTCTTCTTCACGTGTAATTAAAAAAATAAAATTGAAACAAAATTGAAAAAATAAGCAAATATAATAGTCAACAAAAAATTTACTACATTTGAATTATTTCCATTAAAAACTTATAAAAATATATTTTTTATATAAACAATTATACCTTATCTTATAATTAATTATACTATATGCATGTGATGTCGAAATAATATATAAACAATTTGCTCATAAAGCTCGTACTTTAACGTGTCTCTTATTCAACGGTAGCGATTATAATCGCACGATTTTGAGGTGATGAGAAAGTACAACACTTATCTCGACTCATGTCAGAAGACAAATACAATGCTCATTATTCGGGGCATCAATTAAATTTCTCGACTTTCCCTTGAAATTCTTATATGTACGTGGATGCCATCTAATTGTAAGCTTAACTCATTGTCAGTCGCTACAATTTACTGCATGGTATGCAGACCGTGTAAACAGTGTTTGGGTATATTAGACTTGACACCTTGGATTTACAGGAGATAGTTGACACTTTTCGTCCGAGAAACTAAACAGGTCTTTGAAAATTGTTGTAATATTTTGACTTGCAAAAGAATTTTATATAAGAAATATTTATATAAAAAAGCGATAGAGTATATCTATAACGATATAGTGTGGTGTTTAAATTTTTCAACACCGCCTTTCTCTCAACGTATCAAAACGAATTAAGCTTCCTAAGATGATCAGAAGTCGGTCGTTGATCGCGCTTTTTATATGCTGCATCATGTTTAACATTTGCGTCAACGCTTGGAATAATCGCGGCAGGCATAGGATTGCGAATAGAAGATGGTCGTGGCAGAAAAATGATAATAGTGCTGCCACTTCAATTCAAGGAACGGCGGCAAAACGTAAATGGGAATTGCCGAAACTTCAGAACAATAATCGGACTCATATCGCTAGGGAGAAAAGACGTAAGTGGCGTACTATATAGAGTAGAATAAATGAGTAGAGACTCGACAGTACCTAAAGGAAAAATATATTATGGGATTATTGCTCACGCATAGTCTTCTCGCTGTTCACATTGGTGAAGTTCGACAATAGCATTTGCGGTGGATTAAATGGGGAGAACGGCACGTGCGTCGCGGCGGCGGAATGCGTGCAACGCGGTGGTACCTCCAGCGGTGTCTGTGCAAACGGTTACGGAGTGTGTTGCATAGGTAAATCTATAAATAAATAAATTCGACTTTTCTTACGTTGATCAATTTTAACATCAAACATTTCTTATTGTTAGAGGCACCCCACACACACGTGCGCGCGCGCGCGCGCACACACACACACGCACACATTGGATATTTTTATAGTATAAAAAAATTATTTCAACCTGTTTTTTTATTCTTTACTTTTGATAGTCACAGTGTCTTGTGGCGGCCTGACTGCTGACAATAATACATACTTTGTCAATCCGAATTATCCATCCACTTTCGACGGTATGGAATCTTGCCAAGTGACACTAGTAAAGTCGCATCCAGATGTATGCCAGTACCGGTATGGTTTTTAAGAATATATATGTATATATAGTACGCTTAATAATAATTCTCCAACTTTTTAAAGAATTTATAATTATTTAAAAGAAATACACACACCCAAATACATATTCGGTGTGTAAAAGTTTTAGAGAAAAGAGAGTTTGGCTTCCTATTTGATCTTATTTTTTATTGTAGATTAGACTTTGAACAATTTAATATTAGGGGTCCGGAAACGACGAATAATGTCTGCACTTACGATCAATTTATTGTTTCTGGTGGCAATCCGGTACCAACGATATGCGGTAACAATAATGGAAATCACAGTAAGTACTGATAAAAAAGAAAAGTAAGTATATCTCTTACTCTATCCTTTTTTCATTAATATTCAATTTTCGATTTACAATTCTTGATATAAGTTAAATATTCTTTATAGTGTACATAGATACGGGCGTCGGACAAACTAATCCAGTAACTTTGACTTTTGTCACGAGTGGCAGCTCATTTCCACGATCGTGGAAGGTTCGCATCTCGCAGATACAATGCAGTACGATATACCGAGCCGAGGAGGGTTGTCTCCAGTATTTCACTGGGGTTTCCGGACAAGTAAAGTCCTTTAATTACGATCCGACGACCGGATTGCAGTTGTCGAATCAAGATTACAGTATATGCATTAGAATGGAGAGAAACTTTTGCGGAATTCAATACATGGCGTGTACTGACGATGGTACGAAAGAAAAATACAGTATCTAATAATATACTATCTAATAATATACACGTATCTAATAATATACGTATCTAATAATCATATAATATATAAAGAAAAAAATACGAAGTATACATATATGAATGTATATATTAAAAAGACATCGATAGAATCTCAAAAACTATAACCTTAAGAAAATTTTTTCTCATCTATAACATGTAAAATTTTGAAACAGACAACTTTTTCCTCGGGTATATTTTCTTCTATGATTACAAATAATAAACATGTAATATATATACGGTCTCGCGACAAAGAAGGAAAAAAACAAAGAGAGGAAGAGAGAGAGAGAGAGAGAGAGAGAGAGAGACCCTATCTATATAATATATAATATATAATATACAGGGTGTCCTAAAAATAACGGACTTCCTCTTAATGGCAGATTCCTTAGAACATTTCAAGACGAAAATCCTAATACAAAAATGTCGAGGCTATAATAGTTTTTAAACGGGAAGCGATTATATTTTACGAATGACAGGGCTGAGATTTCGGGCGTTCAGGTACGGCGAAATAACAAATGAGAAAAAAGGCGCTTCATTCATAGAGCACTTTTTTCACTTGTTTTTTGCCGTGCCTGAGCGCGCGAAATCTCAGCCCTGTCATTCGTAAAATATAATCGCTTCCCGTTTAAAAACTATTATAGCCTCGACATTTTTGTATTAGAATTTTCGTCTTGAAATGTTCTAAGGAATCTGCCATTAAGAGGAAGTCCGTTATTTTTAGAACACCCTGTATAATATATAACAATAATTTAAATTAAACAATTTTTATTAATTTTATTTAATTTATATCTCTTTAAACACACACACACACACACAAAATATCGATAATGTCTATGTGTGATTTGTTTGATAGCTCAAGGGATGATGCCTACCACGGCAGGCGCAGCGGGTCAAATAATGCGTAACAACGCATTTACGCTGACAGGAAATACACAAAATACGCAAATAGTATCAATGACAGGAGCATCTTGTTTGACTGATTGGTTATCGATACCGTGCGCCATCAATTTGGGCCGGATGCCCACGATGCCGCTGATATGCGTTGATCGATTATGTGGCGGTACCTTCAATTCGGAACCTCAGAATCTGAATGCATCATCTGTTATCAGTACGTATTGGACCAGATATCTGTATTATTGTTCTAATATATGTGGAGTCCTGGTATATATATATATATATATGTGTGTGTGTGTGTGTGTGTG